ACCGACACACAAAGTTAGCGCTTTATAATATAGTAGGATTTTTGATGCATCCACTTGGCGTCGCGCGGAGTGTCGCGGTCAACGCGAGCGCTCTCAGATTTCTCGCGGCGTCCCGCCCCTCCGAGCGGGGCTTCTTGCTCTGTGTTCAAGCCGTGAGCAGCTGTAGACAATAAAAGTCCTTCTAAACCCACTGAACCACATCGTGCTCAGTGCCTGAAGGCGCAGTTTTTGATAGGTGTTAGTATCGCGACTGTTGCAATGTACTGACATACTTCATGGGAGATTGAAAGAAGAGTACTACATACTCTTCTTTCACTTCTCCCATGAACTGCTCTACACTTTGTTCTCCTTGGGATTTCAGGAATGTTCGATCATCGAAGACAGACCATGTTTTTGCACTACGCTGTAACAAAGATTTGATTTGGCTATTGTAACCGTCGTGTATTGAGGATAATAATGGCTGAGAGTGAGACTTATAATGCTCTGCATGCTCTAATGCTCCCATGGAGCTCTTGTCTGTGTGACTCTCCGACAGCTGCACGGTGCAGAGCTCCTGGAGAACATTAGAGCTGAAAGTGCACTCCCGGACACTGCACTTTTCAAGCCGTCTTGCAGCCCGTCTCTGTGGATACGACCCCCTCCCTTTTCGGTCGGCTGAATACGACCCCCTCGTTGTTCTTTGCGCAACGGGCGGTTGACCCTGCCAGAGATGCGGAGAGATTAGTGCTAGATGTCCCACCTATCCTTGCGTTGATTTACAAAGACTGTAGAAAAAAGCAAGGTAGATTACGCGAAGTAAACAGCTCGCTCATGCCTCTGCATCTACGACTCCTCGTTGCGGCTTCCTGTGAGGTAACCCACCCGGATTCGGCTACGCCCTCTCCGGCTTTTAGGTGCGTCGGCGGTGCAGGCCATAGAAAATTGCAACAGCAATGGCAATGACGTAGGCCTTGGCCTGGCTTGTCTTCTGCCAACGAAATAATTTGACGATAGCAGTCATTTTCTACTATTTCTCACTAATTACCACTGACTGTCTTTGATAAACTATCCGTCCTCATTACGAACATTTAATGATTGGATTCTTTCCGAAACTGTTGTCATCTGTACAGTACAGACGCACTTCGCCACGGATTTGAAGGTAAAATTCAAAGGTTTCCGAAAACCAGAGGCTAGTCGAGTGCAGACCACGAAACACAAGTGACGAGGCTTCTATGTAATGTAAGAATCTCCCACCATTGAAGTGATAGCCGGTTGCAGTTGTACTCTATCGGTTTTCGCTTACTGCAGCTGTATATCATCTATCACCATTCATAATGAACCAGTACTTACCAGATTTTCTTCAAGGTCGTAGTCAATTACGGTGTGTTGTATGCACTCGACCCGCTTCTGGTTCACGGAAGCAAAAAATGTATGCGTGGGTGACTGCTTGTCCGTCCGCAAACCCTGGAGCTAGGAGCTAGGAGCATGCAACAGAGACGGAGTTTAGGCGCTACCCTTTGTCCTCTTCTGTATTCTCTTATCCTTAGCACTGGAGAGCACTCCTTTGGACTCATCAATGGAAAGTACAAGATAATACGTGAACGACTCCATTCAAGTGCACTTTTGATGAAGAGGCGTCTCTTCCTGCTTAATTTCTCGCTCCTGTTCGTTCATCGTGAACTTACTGAACCCTCAGCCCTTTACAAGAATATCCACTGCAGTGGTTCGGGACCATTTCTGGGCCATTGCTTGCTGAAATATCTAAGCAACCCAGGAGTACTTTCACC